TTTCCCTTCAGTTTATTTCCCTGAAGCCCTCTGATAGGGAGAGTACAAATCTAATGATAGAACATGCTATTTCAAATATTTTTCACTTCATTGCCAATTTTCCCATATTTATTTTTTCTTTCTGTTTAGAAGTTCAGGATAAATCTAAACGGAGGCTGGATCACTTGAGCATGATCTCCCAGTAGTGCTGAACTCCTCAGAACACTGAGGATTAGGTTTTAAAAGAACATTCAGCATGAAAGTTTTAAAACAGGGGTGTTCAACCTCTGGCCCTCAGGCCAAATTGGGCCCACAGTGCCCCACAGGTCTAGAAATTTGGTGATGGGGAGTGGTGATACTGATTCTCTGCTGTCAAATCTCTGGGCCCATGGGAAGCCCTTGGCCCTGCACACTAAATCAGGCACCTAATCCCAGTGCCAAGGGCTAAATGGGGGTGGTGCCAGGCCCCAGGGCCTAATTTTGTTGCAGGTGAAGTTTGAAGGGGGTAGTGCCGGGCTCCCAGGATGCAATCTAGCACACAGGGGGCAGTAGGGGGTGGCTCCAGATCCCCAGGAACCAAACCTGGCATGCAAGGGATGGGAGGGGATAGTGTCAGGCCCCTTGGGACCTAGCCTTGGCATAGGGGGCAGGGGGATGGGAGTTGGTGGTGCTTGGTCCCAGGGCCCAATCTAGCCTGCAGAGGGGTCCCACACCACTCATTTGGCCCGGGTCAAAAGGTTGAGCACCACTGTTCTAAAAATATAGAAGGAGGTTCAGGAGCTTTTGGAGGCTTCCTGGTAATGAATTTTCACCCTACCCCATTAGGTGGCAGTTGTTGCTCTCAGCATAATAGAAGACATTGCTTGTTTGCTCTTTCTGCATGCAGACAGGTCTGAATGGGGCACCCAGCCCAGGAGAGGAAACTCAGAGCCAGGTGCTTGGCCAGCTCCTTCCCAGATTCACAGCATTCAAGTTTTCTTTTCTGAGTACCACTCAGTAGTCATGTAATAATCAGGCCTCTGTTGCATTATAATTTTTCCTATCCTTCACTTTTCTAAGTAAGGGAAACATGAGGGTTATTATGAGTGAAGATGGGGTAGGCCAGGTGTGGGCAAAATACGACCCATGGGCCGGATTTGGCTAGCTAACTGATTAGATCTGGCCTGTGACTGCCACTGCCGTGCTGTGCAAGGGGCCAAACCCTGCCCGCTCCTGTCTGGGGCAGCCTGTGCTGTGCTCCTGCTGATGGCCCCAGCCCCCACCAGTGTGCACTGTTTTTCAGTGGGTCCTTCCAGTACAACTGCAGCTGCCCAAGTACTGCTTAACTTCCCCTGCCTCCAGCAGCTCCTCTTCCTCCTCCTGCCCCTGCTGCACTGTTCTAGTCAGAGGTAGTGCTGGGAAGCAGCGGCAGCCATGGGGATGTGTGCTAACCACCACATGCCCAGTCAGGTGAGGAGGAAGATGTAGCTGGGCAGCTTCTGCCTCAGATTGCGAGGCTCCAGCTCCAACTCCAAGCCTCCACTCAGGAGCTGGAGCCCCTCAAGCTGGGGAGGGAGTCTACTGGCAGCAGCTTCACCCCTGCCTAGCTGGGTTTGTGGTGCTCAGTACACATCCCTATGGCTGCTGCTGCTTTCCCATGTTACTTGCTGCCCAGAGCAGTGCAGCAGGGGCAGGAGGAGGGGCTGCGGGAGGCGGGGGGAGCCAAGCAGTACCTGGGCAGCTGCAGCAGCAGCACTGTGCACTCTGGCCAGGGTCCTGACTTGGGGACAAGTGGGAATGCAGTGCAGGCTGCCCTGGGCAGGAGCGGGCAGGGCTGTGCCCTGTGTGGAGCTTTGCAAGGGCATCTGCAGGCCAGATAGGAAGGATATGGACTGCACCTGCATCACTTGGGCGAGCTCTTCTGCACATGTCCCATTTGCACTCTCCCTTCACCCCCAGCTGGCTCCTAGCATGCAGACAGTCCCCCCCACACACGTACACACACCTCTGCTCATACCATACACACCTTACAGCCCCACCCCCCACCTCCCCACACTCCACACATACCCCCGACCCTCCCTGCCCTTCCCCCATGGTATACAAGAGTAAGAGTTCATTTTGAACTATTTTTCAGTCACCCCTGTATACACTAATCAAAACCATAAATCAGGACAAAATTATTTTTTAAAAATAAAATTAAAATATGTTATAGTAGATATTTGATTTTTAGTGTATGATTTTTTTTAAATGTATAATTTGTTAAATATCTTCTGAAAGATTTTATGGGTGCAGCCCTCAACAGCTCACCAAAACTTTTTAAATGGCCCTCCAGTCTGGGCAAGGCTGTGCTTGGAACCTCAATATTTAACAATGGATTCTTATTTAAACTTCTTTTTGCCCATTACTGCCCCAGTTGCCTTCTCAGTGTCAGCTATGGTAGTCATCTTATACCACCTGTAGTAGGCAATGTAGGATTAGAGTTCTGGATACTTCCACTTTGCCACTTCTTGTAAGTGTTATACATTTGGAAATGTTACAGATCATTAGAGCTGTCATTTAGAATTATCAGTGCATATTGGCCAGCAAAGATTACTCAAGCTACTGGCAACTTTTTAAAGTTCAGCATTAAGAATCACGCTACCAGCTGTAACTGCTGTTATACTGCAAAGTGTATATTCACTTGGAAATGTTATAATTTCTTTTGTCAAATGAATTTGTGCTACTTAATTTCCCACTTTTTACTTTGTAGCACTGGAGATAAGTGGCGTACCAGGAGAAAAATGATAACACCCACCTTCCACTTCACAATTTTGAATGATTTTCTAGAAGTCATGAATGAACAGGCCAATGTTTTGGCAGATAAATTTGAAAAATGTGTTGACAAAGAACCGTTTAATTGTTTTCTAGACATCACACTGTGTGCCTTGGATATAATCTGTGGTAAGTCTTAGGTATGATTCAACAATTGCTTGGGAATTGCAATAAATTAGGAGCTGTTCCAGTGCTACAGTTTAGGTTCTCAAGGTGGTTGACATAACCCAGCTCTGCTTATTTTCTTAAACTAAATGCCATATCATCAAGGTTGACCACATCTATTTTGATCCAAGTGTTCTGCTTTTTTTTGTAGCTGCCTGGACAGTGAGTTGTGTTATGAGAACCCCCTCTTCATGGGATAAGAGAGGGCTAGAGAATCTAAAATGAGGGAAAGAAGAACTGAAACACTATGACCTGTTTCAGAAAGAAAGACTATCTTGTAGAAAATAATACTGTCCACGGAGATTGTAAATAACTGCCATTTACATTCATGTAATCCTCCTAATGAACTGGTGAACGTAGTCAATTTCTCTTTCTAGAAACTGCAATGGGCAAGAACATTGGTGCACAGAACAACAAGGATTCTGAATATGTCCGTGCTATTTATAAGTAAGTGTAACACTTTCAAGTCTCTTTTTATAGTTTGTTACTTTTGGATTGAGAATGCCAATGCCATCTGTAGTGCCTGGGAGTTTAGACGAGCAGAATCCGTTTTTGTAGGTTACTGTGGCCTCTGCAAGGAGAGTGGTTCATCTGAGCACAGTGTGCCACGCTGCACTGCTTCAAACCTGTGTTGCCCATTGGTTGAAACGAAGTGGGGGGAGTGCATATACAGAGGTAGAATGCAGTAGAGGAGCCTCCATAACCTGTGCTGGCCCCAGGAAATTTGTGATGGCATCAGAAAGTGAGCTACTCTAACCTGTGACTCAGTTGCACTTCATAGCTAACAGGTATTGAAATAGGTTGTCACATGTCCTATGTCCCTGATTTACAGGGCCAAAGGAAGAAAGGTTGCAACACTGGCTACACAGAGCACAAATTTCCCGCTCACCTTGATTAAAGTACCTACCCCTAGAATTGGTAGGCATATTGATCAGTCAGGAAAGTGGCAAGACTGTCAGTGTTTGCCTGAGTACAAAGGCTGACTACATTTCAAAGCCAAACAGAGGACAGTGACATTTCCAAAGGAGGTTTCATGCTGAGGGGATATATTTTCCCTTTCCAATACATAGTGGCTAAGAGAAATTTAATTAAGGGTTTGGAAAAATACTGATACCTTTCTTGAATGTGATTTTGAATTGGGAAGAACAAATAAATTGCCAGGGAGATGCAGTACCACATAATACACATACTTGTCAAGAACTGATTTGAAAAATTATGATGGGGGGAATACTATTAAGGTATTTAAGAGATACTACTTGAGGATAAACTTTTTCTACAAGTGCCTGACCTTAGGAAGTTTATCTAGTTCCTCATCCAGGGAAGCTGGTGAAATGTGATGACAGCTAGCAGGACCTGCTGGGTGGGGAACCAATTGAAGAAATCTCTTCAAAACTGGACAAATACAATAGCTGATACTGTAATTAAAATGTTAGTTTTTTCATGCTTGTTTTCCTCTTCTAAGCCTCCCTCTTTGCTCATGCTGTTTTTTTCTTTTTCTTCTCCCCTGTATTTATTGTGACAGATATGTATGTACGTAGTTCAAGTTCATATGTAGTTGATACATGTATGTATCTCATTTTTGGATTGCATTTAAAATGATTTTAAAAAGTTACAGATATTGAGATTCTGATTAAGTGGATTCTTAGCATCGCCCAAAGATTAAATACAAAGACTCCCTTTGAAACATCAAATTGCATCCTCCCATCCATAGTTTCATAGTTGGTAGGGTCTTTAGGGACCTGAGCAGATCATCAAGTCTGACCCCCTGCCATGGCAGGAAAGAGTACTGGGGTCAAACGACCCCGGCAAGGTGTTCATCCAGCCTGCTTTTAAAGCCCCCCAGGATAGGAGCCAGCACCACTTCTCTTGGAAGTTGGTTCCAGATCCTAGCCGCTCTGACAGTGAAGTAGCACCTCCTGATGTCTAGCCTGAATCTACCCTCTGCCAGCTTGTGACTGTTATTTCTTGTCATTCCTGGTAGTGCTCGGGGGAACAGAGACTCTCCCATTGCCTGCTGGTCCCCCCTGACTAGTTTGTAAACAGCCACTAGATCCCCCCTCAGCCTTCTTTTGTGGTGGCTGAACAGATTCAGGTCCTTTAGCCTTTCCTCATAGGGCCTGCCCTGCTGCCCCCTGATCATGCAGGTGGCCCTCCTCTGGACCCTCTCCATGTTGTCCACATCCCTCCTGAAGTGCGGCATCCAGAACTGGACGCAGTACTCTAACTGTGGCCTGACCAGTGTCGCATAGAGGGGGAGGATCACCTCCTTGGACTTGCTTGAGATGCATCTATGGATGCATGACAAGGTATGGTTGGCCTTCCTGACAGTGTCCCCACACTGTCGGCCCATGTTCATTTTGGCATCAATAATGACTTCAAGATCCTTTTCTGCCTCTGCACTGACGAGAATGGAGTTCCCCAGCCTGTAGGTAAGCTGCTGGTTCCTGTCAGTGTTGAAACCCATCCTGTTCTCATCAACCCACCCCTGTAACCTGTCCAGGTCTGAGTGCAGCCTATTCCTCCTAGCGTGGCTAGCGTTCCCACTTTTCCCCACATCTTAGTGTCATCTGTGAATTTGAACAGGGTGTTTTTTACCCCCTTGTCCAAGTCGCTGATGAAGATGTTGAACAGCCCTGCAGAACCCCACTGCCCACATCCCCTGAGGTCGAATAAGACCCGTCCACCACCACACGCTGGGTGCTAAGATACTGAGACTCTTCTGTTCTTGAGGAAGTATTGTCAAGTTGTTTTTAGAAATAAATGTAAGAGCATGTTTTTGTTTTGCTAGGATGAGTGATGTCATTCATCATAGACAGAAGTCTCCTTGGCTTTGGCCTGAATTTTTATACGCTATGTTTCAAGAAGGAAGGGAACATAACAGAAGTCTCAGGATCCTTCACAATTTTACAGATAAGGTAATCTCTTATTTGTGTTTCAAGTATATTATAACTAATGAAACAACAAAATTTGTAGTCTAGGATTGCAAATTGTGAATGTGATGGTAGGTTGTACAACTATGGGGAACATCAGCTATCTCAGAAAGATACTTGACACAGCAACCAATTCTTAGACTCCAGCAGAACATGGAAAAGAGGAGAGAACAAAAGAAATACTTTGACTTGATACTACATTTCCCAGACTTTAGTCAGTGCGTGACACTAATTTAGTACTAGTAGGATTCATTTGTGACTAGTGATAAAAGATGAGACAAAACAGAAAAACACTGTAAATCATCTTAATTCCTTGCAATATGGAGGCTACTGAGATTCTCCAGTGATCCAAGCACTTTAGGCTTTAATGGGGAAAATATTTCAAATTAGAGTGCTAGACATAGAGTTGAAGACATGCCCATTGTAGGAAAATGCATCCCATTTACACAATGAGTGAAACCTTCATAAAATAGTTTTCTGAAAGAACAAATAGCCCATCCTGGTTGTTTTACATTGGAGTGAAACATTTGCCACTCTTGTAACAACAGAAGTACCGATTGTATAGATAGAAAAGGATGACAGTATAAGATGTTATGATGCAACTGTTCTGTCTGCATGGTTTTATAGTGCAACAAATATAGCAGAACCATTCCATCTTTAGCTGCTTTAATTGGGATGAGAGTTAGGGAGATTCAGTTAACAGACAACTAACAATGGTTAGGGTCCCTGACAAGCTATTATGATCTAACAGGCAGCAGCAATTGCCCAGTTGCTTAGACTTGGCAGAAGCAGCCCCACCCTGGCTGATGAGCTAGCTGGCCATTGTTAAGGCCTCCTCATTGGCTGCTGGGAATAGCAGTATGTCCATATAACTCCAGCTGTGGCTGCAGATTGGAGCCCAGCCAACAGTTATTTCTGAAGGTCTACTGTGGTAATATGGGGGCAAGAGGAGTCTGCATTTTGATTCTAATTTGACTGATGGTGACTGACTATAGCAATGGAAGATGGGCTGCAGAGGTGGTCAGTGGTATGGGGTTGGACAGTGGATTGGAGTTGGTGAGTCATTGGCAGAGGAAGATGGTGAAGGAGGATGGAGGACGGGGAGGTGGGAGATTGGCATGCAGACAGCAGTGGATGGCAGATGAAATTTACTAGTGGTATACAGATAAAGGTGCATGGTAGATGAGAAGCAGTGATGGGGAAGTGGAGCTCAGTGAATGGTGGACTCAGTACAACAGGCAAATCTTGGATGGCAGCAAACGTTTAAAGCAACAGAGGGAAGACATTACTGGTAAAGGTAATTTTGGTTTCTTACAGTAACAAAAGCGAAGTGAGCAGCTATGGTTTTAAAGCAGATGTTTTATTTGAGGTTTTCAAAGTGCATCCGGAAGATTTAAATAGCTTTATTGATTTTACAAGTCGTTGAATGTGGACGTTTACATTCTACACCACTGAAGGAAGGGTATGACTGATTTTGGAAAACCTATAATGAGATGAGCAATACCCCAGAGCTCAAACATATCACGTTCTTGTCTGCTGAAGCAGCCCATGAAAGAGTAATTACATTAAGAATGTAATTAAGAATGTTATTGGATTTAATAACATCAGAAGATATTAAGCAAGGTTGGAATGTCGCACCAAAAAGGTGATAAAAGTGTTAAAATTAGGGATAAGTTTGAACAACGTTGAGCAAGGCAAGAGTAATTTTAAATGAAGACTCAGGAGAGAGTAGGTTCCCTAGTTTAATTACCAGTGGAGGGTAGGTAGCTGTAGTGTAATTACTAGTGGAGAACCTTCTACTGGTAATTACGCTAGGGCTATACTTGGGGGTTCATTATCTGTTTTGAACAACCCATGAGGTGTAACACGTATGGGGTGGAGGGGCACCAGGTGGCTAATAACTGCAAAGCAGCTTGCAAATGTAATTTGTGTGGGGAAGAAAGGCATGTTTTTAGAACATGTCCTATGTCCTTTGCAACTAGAGTCTGGACCCTAGGGGAGGAGCACAAAGAAACCCTGGAGGAGACCGTATATGAAGAGAGGCAAGAGGAGAGGGGAGGAGGCAGGGAAAAAAAGGGAGGTGATATGGAAGACCCTGCAGAAAAGTGATGTGGAAGAGGAGAAAGAGACGACAGGTGTATTGGTGGTAGAAGTGGCACAGGGGGAGGCGATGATGGGCAAGAAGTAGGAGAAAAGGGAAGAAAGTGGGAATTTGCAATAAGAAGAGGAGGTAAATGAGGGGCAAGAGGAAGTAGATAAAGAAGAGGAGAGGTGGGATGCCTTTTGACAAAAGGAAAAGATCTAAATAGAGGGACACAAAGAAAACTAAAATATGTGAGGGAGATTGGGAAGAGAAGCCCAGCTTTCCCCCCTTGTCCTCCTTGGTGCTATCCCTGAGTGGGCCATGGAGGTGCTAGGGCATCAAGGGAGTGGAGAGACTGAGGGTTTTCTTGACATTTAGGAGGTTCATAATCTGATTGAGGTAAAGGAATGAGAGTGGGGGGAGGGTGAAATGGACTTCCCAAGCTATAAATACTGAGGAAGATGTATAACTAAAGAATATTTCTTCTTTTGATGTTGGTGGTTGCATCCTTAAATGTTCAGTGTTTTAACAAAGCACTAATAGAAAACAGTGGATTTAAGCCCTTAAATCCTAAGCCCTCCTTAGCACAGATGCAAGAGGATATAGGATGTCTGCACAAGAGTGGCATTCCAGGTGAGGAGGAATACAGACAATTCGAAAGCTGTTGGAGGTGGGGTGCCTCATTTTGGTCAGGGTCCAATGAAAACAGATCTGCAGGGGTGGCAATGCTAATAAGGAGCTCCACAATTAAGGTGGTAAAAGTGGAAGAAATTATACATGGTTAGTTGCAATACAATGTTAGTATTGAGGTACAGAGACTGAATTGTTAATGGGTATGCCTGCAGAAAGAGAAACGATCTTTTAAAGAAACTAAGCAATGAAGCAGGAGCAGTGGTAAAGAGGAGGGCTGGGGAGTATTTTTGCAGGAAGGCAAGAGGCAAGTAAGATGGAAGAGGGTTTTAAGAAGCTACAACAGAGAATGCAGTGGCTTTTAAAGGAAACAGAGAGGGGATGGCCCATGAAAGACAAGATGGAAGAGGCATGGTTTTTAAGCAAGGTGCAAGAGAAGATGTTTTTAATGCATGCCCCTTAGACAGAAAGAAATTAGGGCTGGTCTCCATACTTCTCTGCCTGGATTAAGTCAGAAAGAGGGGGGATTAAGGCAGCCCAGGAGGAGGGAGGAGCCCAAATGGAAGGGTAGGAAGAAATACTAGAGGCGGCAAGAAGATTTTATGAGGATTTACACCAGAAGAGTGAGGTGAATGAAGGGAGGATTCGCAAGTTATTGGGTGAACTGGAAAGGAAGGTGGGGGAAGAAGATGCCTGGAGGATGGAGGAAGAGGTGACATTAAAAGAAATGGGAAGCTGCCTTAAGACTTTAAGAATGGAAAGAACCTGGGCAAGGATGGACTGTTGGTAGAATTTAATATAAGGTTCTGGAGTCTTTTAGGGCCATATTGTTGGAAGTGTTTAAAAAGATTTAGAGAAGAGGTTGGAGAGGAAGGATTTTACATCTGCCATTGCTGTTTTGTTGTTCAAAAAGTGGAACAGAGAGTACAATTAGGACTGAATGAACCATGTTTTCATGTCAGCCAAGACCGTGAAGACCTTGGAGACAACTGAAGTGAAGAAATGGAGAAAGACAGTAGACTCTTTTATTCACACCCAACTTCTAGGACTTGAGTGTTTTACCTGTTGCATGTTGAGTACCTATTTTATGGATTTTAAGGCATTTTATTGTCATACCGTGTTACATGTTTTTACATGTTTTATGACAATGGGTTTTATGATTTGGTATACTGGTAAAGATTTTTTACTGTAGCTACTCTATTTACTCAAATCTAAGATGTCCCTGAACATAAGATGACCCTCCGATAATTGGATTCTGTATGTGGAAAATGTATAAATTTGTTACAATTTTCCAGGTATGGAATCTAATTATTGGAGATTTGCCTTAAAGTTGTTCCCTTCCCACTGCTACCGCGGGGAAAATAAATCCGGGGGATAAGTACCACTCCCTCCCCACCGCACTACTGTAGAGTCGGCTCTCTGAGCACATGGAAGTGAGGGACAGATTTGAAAACATTGATCTGGAGTACTGGGGGTTGGAAAGAGTAAATTGGAACATGTAAAATTCAAGATGAATTGTTTGTTACTTTTCTGATAAATAAAAATTAAAAAATAGTGTCCCTGGATCCAGTACTCTTTGGTTTTCTTGCTTCTGACCCTGCTCAGCTCTGTTTCTTTCTGGACCCTGGCTTTTAGGAACTTGGCTCAACTGTGGTAACTCAATCCCTGACCCCAGGACCCTGATTGAATTGGTGATTTGGACTCTGCTCCTAGGTTTCTTCCTTGGATTTGGTAATGTGGTCTCTGACTATAAAACCGTGCTTCAGCCTGTAACATGGATTCTGCTCCTAGAATTCTCTTGATTTTTGGCTACCTTGGACTCTAGCTCCTGTCTCTGGCTTTGCTCTGGTGGCCTACCAGGCTGCCTCTGTCCCAGTCTTTTCACAGCTATTGCATTTTCCTTAAGCAGAAGCTGCATACACCCTTTTAAAGTAGCTAAAATGTATGTTTCTCATTATACTTTTTGAAAGAGTACCTCATTATTATGTGTATCCCAGAAGCAGTGTGCGGGAAGCTGGAATTGAAAATGAAATTTTACTTTTTTTGTGGAAATTAGAGCATGATCACTCCGATATAGGGGCTATAAAAAGAATGACTGCAAAACATTAATGTTGTACAGAAATGGAGAAAGTACTTCTAAACAACTCAACTTTGTGAACTGGATATAATGAACTATATCCGAGGAGGAAAATAAAGGACAGTAAATATAAATACTGCTTACTAGGTTAGAGTGAAGAGTATGTTAAACATGTGAGGTGTAGTGTGTTTTGGGTGTTTGTAAGGATCATAAAAAGGAACTCTAAACTTAAAGTGTTCCAACAGCCGATAAGAATTTCTTTATGAATACTCTATGAATCTCTCCTGCTTATCATTCAGTTCATTATGCAAATGTGATTAAAATATTGAAGTATTGCAGTCTTTTAATTCTTTAGACTCAGGGCACTCTATACAAATGAATTATTACTTAAGACTTCATTTACTGCAGTGGCAAAGATGGGTGCGTTGGAAAGTATACACCCACATCTTGGACCAAAACATTGGAGCCATTTCAGGCCTGGGTCCTGATTCATCTCACTTTTATGAGCAGCAGTTGTGCTCTTTGAGATCCAGTGCAAAACAGCCATTAATTTCAGTAGTGCATGTTAAAGTCCCTTTAACACACTAACTTCAGTGGAAATGAAAAAATAGTTGGATGCACCATCACACTGATGGAATTTGAAATCTTTTGCATGTCGGTTTGTATTTTTTGGGATGCAATATCACAACATAGGTTTGCTCTGTGAATTAGCCTGATAATGACATTTACCTGTGCTGACAGTTGAGAAGCAAAGGATGACAAAGGAAAAGGGTATTCCTGTTTATGGCACCAGCCTATTTTTGCTCCCAAACAGCTTTTTTGTGAAAATTTAGATCTTAAACATTTAGATTTTAAATGATTCACAACAGTATTGTCTTCAAACCCAATAGATAGTAAAAGAAACCAAAGACTAAGGGATACATGTTTTTCATCTCCTGGCACTGAGAAATACATATTATAGAGTCATGGATGTGGTTGCTTTTTAAATATCTGGACTAAAGTTTATTTTGAAAGTATAGTTTGGTAGACTGTGGATTCTAACCCTGAACTATATATGTTTGTTTCATAAGGTTATTAAGGAAAAAGCTTGTGAGCAAAACAATTGTGAAGAAAGTAAATGTGACTTAGATGGCAGCTGTGAACAACGTGGGTCAAAAAAGCGGAGAGCTTTCCTTGACATGCTTTTGAATGCAACCAGTGATGATGGGAGTAAACTGAGCTATGCAGACATTCGAGAGGAAGTGGACACTTTTACGTTTGAGGTACCGTAAATATATACATATACAGATAGTTTCTTCCTTGCATTAGAAAAGAAGTTTTACTTTTAGTTTTGAATCCCTACAGCAGTATATAAATAGGAAGAAATTAAGAAATCGATACCCATGTTACAGTTTACAGTGTCATTTTTCAGGACCTAATGTATGTATTATATATATTTTGTGTAGGGGAAGAAGTTTCTTCTTTATCTTCCTGTTTAGTTATTGCCTTACATAGCTTAATATGCTGGGTATTTAGATTCCATTACTTTTATGGCTTTTGTAACATTGGGTGACCAGAACTGATAATAAAGGGGCCTGATTCACAGTAACATTATTTCAGCTTTATGCTGATCTGTCCTCCCTAAGGCTGTTTAGCTAACTACACACCATGGTGGGCAGCATGATAATGCTAGCTATTACTAAAAATGCTCCTTTTTAATACCCAAATCTGTGGTCAATGAATGTGCTGTTCCATTCTATCCTTTATAGGCCCTTGTAGAGCATTTGCCTTCACTGTGTCCAAGCGCATTCTAATAGGGTCTTAATGAATGTTCCCTTCTTAGACCAATTCTAGTTTTGTAACATATGATCTTAGCAACACTGGTTGCTGACAGATGTGGAAAAAAAACAAAAAGGCACTTTATTTTTTAGCTTGGTGTGGCCTTGTGCTAAGTGCAGCACATGCGCAGAAGAACTGCAGTACTTTGACCTGGCTTGCCCAGCATCTGTGTAGATCATGTGCTTTAGTGAGACTTTTGGGTGCTTTTATCTATTTTATTGAATCAGCTATTAGATAAAGGTGCCAAAAAGCCATGATGAAGCACCCGATCTATATAGACTCTGGAGATCTGGGTCAAACTAACTTGGCTTTTCTTCCGGTAAAGTGCCGGGTTCCCCCCGCCCCGTTCCCCAATGGCCACTGTGTTTTGCCCCTTAGTGGTAGTTAAAGGTAAGGTATGTTTTTATTGTGTTTTATTTTGCAAAATCATATTAACTTCCATTTAAGTCCTGCCAACCCTGACTGTGGAACTAATAAGGGAATTAAATAGTGTGTAAGAAAGCAGTCCAGAGATAGCTGGGTTTGTGTTGACATTCAGCAG